CCCCCTTACTTAAATACAAAAAAAAACCTTTAAAGACTCTAACTTTGCTGTATAATTACCTGTTCAGGTATCCATTGCCTTTACTTTTTACTATGTACCTAAAATGCAGCTTTCTGTGCTGACTTTTCCTTCTCTCCCCTCTCTGTCCCCTGCTATTCTTAATAGGATCTCTGCATGTTTCTGATGTCTTACTTGCACAATGTTATCAATGATTGACTTGTCAAACATTGGATTTTACCCCTTCATCTGGAGACTCAGATCCTTAAACATTTTAGTATCTTTGTGTTAAATGACAGGCCTTTGCTGTATCTCAGGTGTCTTTGCTAATCTCCACTATCAAATTATTTGGGTGTATGCCACTGAAATTCAAACACCTAGTTATAAAGCATTTGGGAATTTTCATTCTTTATTTAAATAAAAATCCAGTGATGTATGGATTAGATTATAAGCATCTGTTTTATAATGTCCTCATTAGTTAGTGACAACAGTCTTGAAGTGATGGATTAATTTGGTGCTTCAGTGACTATTTCATAAATTTATCAGCTATTAGCTCCAAGAATAGCTAAGTCTTTCCCCTTAAGAGTTTGATCTTGTTCTCCATTTTGTTCCTGGGCAATTAGTCTCTTAAAATGATACAATTCACCTTATTTTTATCTAACATTAAAGATCTGCATCCATGTCAAACACTGGTTCTGTAACAAGTGCCCCATCAGCCTAATGTGTTTAACAGAACCAGTTTTACCTAGTTCCCTTCGCCAAAGGATTTGACCCAAACAGATTTCTGTTCTTGTTATCTGTTATATTTATTCCAGTTTGACACGTTGTTATACTCTTCATTTCTACTTTGAGTAGTGTCTATTCCCCAGTATCCTCATTCTTAGTCATGAGTGCTGTCCCAGCATGCTGTGGTTACTCGGTCCTGCTTTGTTCTGCACCACGTGCCAGTAATTTAAACCTCTGACTCTTACAAACAGACAGAACCAGGTAATTCATGAACTCATAAAAGGTACAGCTTGATTTTCATCATTCTATTTCTTGGTAAATTTTATCCATTCTTCACCATTTTTAATAGTGTATTAAAAACAAGTATGAAAATGCCCCTGTAAAGTTTAAAATTATTTGTGTCAGTAATCCAGGCTGTGTTCCAGGAGAGTTCTTTCCACAGATGCTTGAAGCTGACCTTTCAGAAAATCCTTTTTTATATGATCTACCTCATGGTTTCTGAAACCTTCCTGGTAATACTCTTACCTGGTCTGTTTGTTTATCTTGTTATCAACTTGTACCTCCAGCCATATTTCAGGGGAACTTGGAAGAATTAAGTTAATTTGGGAGACCTGTCTGTTACATGGTGTTCCTCCTGCCTGTTGCCTCCTTACCCTTTCTTCCCTTCCTTTGCCCATTTGTTAAGTTAACTTTCAGCTTCTTTAGGTTTTAAATTATCTATTGAGATCCCTGTGTAGTCAAATCCAGTTTACCAATAGGAAGAAAACTAAGCTGTGTAACTGATTACTCTTTCCTGTGTTCCTCCAGGACATCAGGTGAGACTTTGTATGACCTTATTGACCTTACTTACCTACAGGTGCTCATTCTCTTAAACTCAGCGACCTGCCTTTCATTCCCTCCTCAATCCCAGCAACACACATTGTACAATTAAGATAGTGTGATTCATTTTTACATTTACATGCTGGGTAGTTTCTCCAAAGGACGTTCAGTGCAACACTGAAGCTTTTTAGCTACTGTAACTTGCTGAGGCACTTGATGTCATATCTTATTCTTGAGAAAACCCTCTGGCAGTTTGCAGTTACTATTAGCAGCCTCAAGGTTTGTATTTGGTGTAAGAAAGTTCTGAGCTTTCACACATGCCCACCCTCTACACCCTTCTCAGTCTTCCCACACAAACCATATGACCAATCATAAATTTTTCACTTAGGATGGTTAAGGATGCACTGGAATAAAATGCCAAAGTACACCTGGATTTAAAAACAGAAAGTAGGCTAACGGCTTTCTATGCACACTGTCCTCCTGCTTTGTGCTCTTTAATCTTGCAGATTTAAAAACTGCTTTTAAATTAGTGTTTTTCCAGTGTATTTTCTGTTCCCACATGCTGTGGCTCCTATAAAGATGCATACCAATTGAATAGCTTCTTTATTGTCATGTTTCATTTATGTTCTTTAATTATCCAGGAAGGTGTCTAAGTTAATCTCTGTGGAGAACCTTCTACTGATACGTCTAATGTAAAAGGACTATGTAGTCATCATCTTACGAGGCTGTGCGCTTTGTCTTGCTGCCAGTAGAAACACCAACTTTGAAATCAGAATTAATTTATAGTGGCTTCCATTATGAATAGTTTGCTGCATGTTTTATAAATTACGTGCTTTCTTCAGGTTGTCAATTGTAAATATTAAAAATGATCACAATTCAAGTTAAACGTCAATTTTAGTGCCTGCTGATGGCAACAGAATGTGGAGTGGAGCTACATTTTCTTGTTGACTGTACCAACCCTGTGAATCTTTCTGGTCTAGTTGGTATCTTTTTCAGTATAGCCTCTTCCACTTCCTATAACAGGAGTTAATATAATAGGGAAGTAACTTGCATCAGTACAGAGCTGTTTTCTTTCATGAGTTATATGTTAGATAATTATCATCTGAGCCAATTAATTAAAATCCTGTTAACTATTGCTTCTATCCAGTTGAAAAGGCCATCTTGTAAAAAGCACTGTTACTTTGATGACGTTAGACATTTGGCTTTATTATAATTACTCATGAAACAATTATTTAACTTAACACTGTCTTTGAAGCTGTTTTCTCCAGTTTGGTGTGATGTTGTCTACCTTTAAAAATGATTTGCTTGAATTGGAATCTCTCTTCTTTCTTAATTTACTTACCCTTTTCACTAGATTACTGTTTACAAAAGTCAAGTTGGAGTCCCTGTGCAGAGGCCCAGATGAAGCACTCCTTACCTGTAAACACATGCTCCAGATTTGGAAATCCTGCTATAATCTCACTAACCCAAGGTAAGATGCTGTAGGATTCTGGGCTGCTCGGTACCTTGCTCAGGACAGTATTAGTCCAGAACTCCTGCTTTTACTTGGTCTGGTATTTCGTATGAACAAACTAATCTGGGCATCTGGACACTGAAGTGTAAAGGTAGCGGTTGATGGACATGCCGAAACTACCAAGAGTTCTGTGAAGTAAGGTACCCCAAAGCTAATAAACTCTGCAGTGATGAGAACTGATTACACAGATTGGGTAATTCTGCCATTCTCCTTGAGGGGACTAAATGTACTGGTATCATCTTGAGTTTTTCCCCAGTCTGGGTTATAGAGCCTTTACTATTGGCTAGTTGAGAGAATGCTGTAGTGGAAATTTAGTTCAAGGACTTTTAAAATGAAGGAGAACTATGTGTTGAACCATGTGATGACTATAGAAACATCACAGGTCACGTGGATAAAACATGATGTGCTTGCAATGACAGCATGGGTTTTCTTTAAAGAGAGGTCTTGCTTGTGAACCTATTTAGGTTTTTCAAAGGCATTAACAAGTATTTAGATAAGTTGGTACTAGTCCTGTTTGGGTTTCCAAAATGCTTCTTTGAAGATCCTTTGCCATATATATTTAGATAAGCTGTGAAAAAAATGGGAAGGCCACTTTGCAGAAGTCCATGCTGGTACTATTCAACATGTTTATCAACAGCTTGTCCTGGAGAACAAACAGAATTTCCTGCTGGCTGGTGGTTCGAAGGGTTGACAGTTTCTAGAGAAGCGATGCTGCAGCAGGAAAGCTTAGTACCAGGTGGCATCAGGTACCAGTAGAGCAGTATGATGAACATTATCTGTTCAGGTTTTGCTCTTTGATGTCAGTTACGTAAACACGTGCATCTCTTCAAGAAGATTGAAAGAGTTGGCCTAATGGCCAAAGAGGGAAAGTTACTTCTCTCTGTGGTGAACTAGTGAGCAGTTCAGAGCAGGGAAGTTTGGAGAGCATGGCAGGAAAAGCCTGGGAAGGGACCTGGGTCAGTCACAGCACACTGGGGCTGGTGGATACCGCGCTGTGGCACAGGGTGCAGGACTCGGGTGATAGGAAGCAAGTACATCAGCAACCAGAAAGGTTTGAGCTGAATTATTTTCAACTCAAAGTCACAGAACTAGCACCAGGGACCTGGGAGAGAACTTCTAACTTAGTGGGTGGTAGTTTATTTTAGTTGGCTGGTTGTGTGTCAGGGGACGGGAGCTTAAGAGGTTATTGTCATAATGCTGTGCTGTGCAGAACAGTTACCATTTCTGTGTAAGCTTAATTTCAGTGAGGCTTTACGTGTGTTCCAGCACGACTTTGAACCTTCCATCTCTGCTGTTACATTCTCTGCACGGATCAGGGCTCTAATCATGGCTTGTCATAACTTTGTTGTCCCTGTGCTAAGAGCTGCTGTGCCATGGTAAATGCACGTTAAGTACTGCTTCCTTCAGACATCAGCAGTGCCTGTGAAAGCTTGCTCTTGGCTGTGTCAGCTTCAAACAGCAACGCTTCCTAATGCTCACGTCTTTGGTCTGCAAGAACATCTAAGTGGAAAAATTAACAAGGACTACTTTGCATCTGATAGGTTTTACTGCTTTTTTTTTATTTCAACATTTAAAGCTTTTCTTGAAGTTCTGGTTTATGGCAAAAAGTTAAAATCAAATTAGGAACAGAATGGACAGGAGCTGTTGATAAGTGTCATGATGGAAAGAGACAGGTTTCACAAATCACACATTCAGAGTTATATCAAACAGTGAATACAGAACACCTGTCTGTAACCTTTCTTTGGATGGTCCATGTGAAATTTAAGGGTTGAATACCTACACATTGTATTTCAGTGCTCGAGATCTGTCTGACTGGGATAACAGTTATCATTCAGACCTGAGATGTGACTGGGAAGTTCTATTCATCCAACTGCACTCCAGACGTAGTGAAGAGTAATGATGCAGGATTGTTGTGAAAACTTAGGTTTTCCAACCTCTGTAATTTTAACACATATTTCATTTTATTGAAAAGCACCATTTGAAAATTATGTCTCCCCCTGGAAATAATTGAAGCTTTTTTAAAAATAGTTCTTTAAGCCAATAATAAAAGGTCTTTTAAAAATTTGAAACCTTTTTAGAATGTTGTATTTCAAAGATTTAAATATCCTTTATGCTTATGTGAAACATCTTTTTCTATTCTGATTTAGACTGAAAACTAATTTTGAGTGATCATTTTCCCAATAAGAACTCACTTTTTGATAAAGCTGTATTTTATGTTAAGTATTTTTCCTTGCAATTAATCATATTTTGTGGATTAAAGTTGTGTACAGTATCCTCAATAATCTTTTAATAATGAAAATAAATTATGTATAAGTAGGTATACTACACAATGTAAGGGCTAGATGCAATCCTGTGTCTTACCTTTGTTCAGCTGATTCAGATCAATTTTTTTGTCTTTAACTGGCATACAAATATTTTCCTCATGAGATGGTTAATATGAATTTAAAACTTAGTTTATGGTGCAAGGCTTGCAAGGTTTAAATGTTTATCTTCAGCCTGCTGCTTGAAGTTTGTTAGAAAATAGTTCAGTTCTTTTCTACTTCTTAGTTTGCATTGGGAAAACAGAACAACCCACAATGCTGGTGCTGTGCTTGGAAGATACTTATGCTAAGCCTGGCTCTCCTTGTCAGCAGCATTTGACATGTGATTGTTTGTGGATTGAGGAAGTAATTAACATAGCGGTTACCAGAAAATGTGCACCAAATTATTGATGTAACAACTATGGTTGATAGTGTGTGTCCCAGAAAGTTCTCTTCTGTTTCCTGTGGATTTCTATAATGACATCATTTCTTAAGGAAAACAGTCATGCAATCATGTTAGGGTAATGCAAAATTTTATTTATACCATTTTAGTAACAGCTGTACAAAGAGAAGTTGTTTCACTGGTTTTTATAGTGTGCAACTATAAAGGGTTGCTGAAAGGCTTCTTTCTTTTCTCTCCGTTCAAATTCGGAAGGAAAGGATCTTAAAATTAAGGCAAATGGAAAGTTGTACTGAATTCCAGTCTTGGATATTAAGGTCTCTCAGGCTTTACTTTAAGCTAGGAATTTTGTGGAGTTTTTTCTCTTCAGTGAGAATGAGGCAAATGTTTGCATTCTGAAGTTGGGCTAACAACCCAATTGCTTTAAAGCTTAATTATTTTCAAGTTTGTGGGGTATTTTTTTTTAAGTGAGGTTTTAAAAATGCTATTAATTGGTAGTGAATAGTATCAGACTTAGAGTCTGAAAAATGAAATTACTGTATTAACCATAGAATGTTAAAGAAGGAGTGCCCATATGTTTGTCTTCACACTTTTCTGTCAGTGTGTTTCAATACTCATCTTAAGGAGAAGGAGGACTTAGTTCTTCAGTCCCTGTTCTTCTCCTGAATCTTTAATAGTGTGTCTAGGAGCAATTAGTCTTCCATCAAGTATATCAAGAAGAAGCCTGAGGGACAGATACTGAGTTACAACTAAAGTGAAAATTAAGTGCATTTGTCCACAGGAGCAATCAGTGAAAACCACTGCTATTGCTCAGGCTGCTGAGGTGTTGGAAGGGTTCAAGATGTTCCTACTGTGGATTAGCAAATTCAGTATTAGGCAGTTAATATGCATGTGTGTATGTTTAAAAAAAAAAACCAAAAAACAAACCCAAAACTCATCTATAGATAAGAATTGTGTCTTTTTAAGTGAAATTTAGCTATGGCATCTTTATAACATCTTTACCTAAAATTAGATTTCCTAGGTTTTGTGTTTCTCTTCAGTCTGAGAAAAGTGTGGATTTTACAAACTTCTATCTGCCATCTCGGCTTACTTGAGGGCTGTACCTCATATTATATAAAAGTTTAAGGTACAGCAAATCCTTTCTGTAAAGCTGTTTTCTATGAATCAAATTAAAAGCCTGTATTCCCATCATGGTTGTAGTAATTATGAAAATGTAATTGCTGAAGTAAATATGGATTTAGTTTTGCTCAGCTTAATTCTGTTTTAATTCAGCTGCCTTAATGCACTGTGAGTGGTTAGTGGTGCTTGGTACTAAATTTGTTCATAGCAAGAACTTTTATAGCAAGAACCTTTGTGGGAGGAGGGCAGCATGCAACTTGTATCTCAGTATATAATTTTATATTTTAATAGCTTACAATTTCTATACTTCATTACAGCGATTCTGGACGTGGGAGCAGCCTGTTAGACAGAGCTATTGCTGATAGACGACAGCTTAATACAATAACATTACCAGATTTCAGTGATCCTGAAACAGGTAAGAATTACATTTGAACAATAAAATAAGTAAAATAATCTGGCCATAGCTAGATTTTGCTCGGTTTTTCTTATATTTTTGCAAAATGAAATAATATTTTCGTAGTTGTCATATAAATGGAAGCAGACATTGTGCAATATAAGATTTTTTACATTTCAGTTTATGAAGTAATTGCTGACCACAATCTCTGTAAATTTAAATATCTGTAGTAGGGATCTTGCTGGTCTTTGTGGTATTTTCTTATGCAAGGGCTAAAAATTAGCATCTTGATCTAGCCTATTTGCCAAGACCCTGTGCTCTTTGTCCATTCAATATGTGCACATATTTTCTTTTTAAAAGGTTTTAAAATCAGAAAAAGTTCACAAAACTTTTTATCTCAGAATTCATTAAAGTCTCTAATATATATTAAAACACAATTACATGGCTGGTTTTGCTTACTGTAGATATAGCTTTGACGTTATAAGTAAAAATTGTTTATTACAAATCATACATCCTGTGATATTTTCATATATATATATCAAAAGATTTGGTGCACAGGTGCACTAAGATTGTTACTTGTCACTAAATATTTATAATATGTGGTTTGCCTATTTTAAATACATTCAGTTAATCACAATGCAAATTGATATGCCTTAGAAGTCATACAGCCAAAAAGCAGGTGAGCCATGCATTCTGTGAAAGTTACAGAAGGAATTACCATGATCATGCTAGTTCCAAAAATCTTCACAGTATGTTATTTGCATTCTAAATATTGAGAGTTTTCTGTTTCCTGGGTTTTATCTCAGAACTGTAGCATGCTTTTCCTGGCACCTTTCAGATGTGATTTTCTGATCAATCACACAGACACAAACAGCTTATGGGAACATTTGCCAGCCTATGAATTAGAGTACACTGACCCATAAGTTAAGATACGTTGAAATGTGTAATGTATCTCTTAGTTTCATATCAGAATTGTGCAGTATAGAAAAATCCAATTTAGATATTTAACTTCTGAATGTTCACTCGATTATGAAATTATGTAAAAGAAGTGTTCTGTGCTTACTGTAGTGTCAAACAATTTTCATTACAAAAATCAGGTCACGTGATTTCAAAGAACTGCAATATGATATGGTCTGAAGTATGGCATAATTTAGCTTGCTGACTCTAGTGTGGAATTTTCTGTCTTTTTGTATTCATATAATTAAAAAGTATAAGATCATGTCATTCTATGTGATCATCCTATATTCTAGTCTAGCTCATTCTTTCATTTTAAGGACATAACTAGATGTTAAATGTTTCATATACATATATAGACAGACATAGATGTAGATGTTTTATTTTATGCCTCAAAAAAAAGTGCTTGTTGGAGGGCATGTTGTGGGAATTTTTTAGTGGTTAGCTGTTGGTTTTTGTTTGTTTTTTTACCCCATGGGGACACAAAGCTCTTAATCTACACCTTTGAGGGGTCATATTTTATATCTGCCAGACTTGAGAGCGTAATGAATTGGTGCTTTTTAAGGACTGCATATTCCTCAATACTTTTAAGTAAAAACGAACCCTCATCCGAAACAGTGAGCTTTTTCAAGAAGCTTGCCCCAGATTCAAATCCTGCAGCCAATATCTTGATTAGAAAACAGGATCTATACATGCGTTCTGATTTTTCTCTAAGTTCCAATTTGGATTTTTTCTGAATCTCAGCTGTGTTGTTAGAGCTTATATCTACTGCCAAGAAGGACAGGATGGGAAATTAAAAATATGGGGTTCCTTTTCGATTATTTTTCTTATGAAAGATAATTGTAGTGGATAGGTTGGGGGAGTCTCTCTTTGTTTCTTGGGAGGAGGTGGGGTTGTTTTTTGCTTGTGGGATTGTTTTAACAGTTAACTTTGGTGTAAGAAACCTTGTTGCAATACCAATATTCAAATTCTGATAAGGACTAGAGCTTTATCTACTGTATGTATACAGTAGTATACATACAAAAGCTCTGTCTCCAAGTTTTGTCCAAAATTCTTGATCCAGAGGATTATATAAAAATTTTGTTAAAATTAAAAGGTTATGGTACTGTAAGAATAAAAGAAGTCAAGCTTGTCGTAGTGTTTGGTTGAGAAAACTTTAAGCAGACTGCCAAAAAAACCATTGCTCACAAAAGGTAGATGATAGAAACAATACATGATCGAGGTGATAGACCTTGATAGGCTGAAAGAGCTTGTGTGCAAATTCTGTGGATCCCCAGTGATTAGAAATGCAGAAGGGATTTGACATTTAAATAAATAAACAAATGTTAAAATAGGAGTATGCGGGAAAGGTATTGCAGAAAATCCTCTTAGGACAGAAGTGTTTGCTCCCCTTCTCTTTATACACTGTAACACTGTCATGTGTATGCATTTCTGTGGGGGGTATACACATGAACATTTGGAAATTTTCCCCTTCCTATCTTTGCTTGCCACCTATGATGATGATCCCCTTTGCCTGTCTAATTTGAGTTTGGCCAGTATGAGTACCAAGATGAGAGTACCAAATGAAAGCTAAAATTTAAATCTGAAGTCTTACGTACTTGCAATTTGAATTTTAAAATCCTTAACAAAAAAATACATCTAGCTGTAACGGGTGTCAAACATTCTTTTTCTTAGATGTATCAGTTAACCGGAAGTTGAAATTTGGGGGGGGGGGGAAAAATCTTAAAAAGCAGTTTTTTATAGACCTCTTACCAATCCCATAATCAAAAATTATTCGGGTTTAAATTTGTGTAACCTTTGACGTATAAAAAGAGTGTATTGTGGATTCCTTACAAGGCTAGACTGTTAACTCTAATGCCCTGACCACTAACTGTGGCAAATCTACTTTTAAGGTTGCCTCCTCTTTCAGCTGGTTTGCCATAAGTGGCATGCACCCCTATTTGTGTATATATATAAGGAAATAAATATGAAGGGGGAAAAAAAAGTTTTGATGGATCAATCCCTGAAGTATATCTCCCAGGGAGCAGGCACATTTCCTACCCAAAGCTAGATATGCATATGCAAATCGCTTGAGCCTCAGTTGGCTGTTTTAGTTAAGGTAAGTTGCACTCAGTCTTTTCAAAAACAGATCATTCAGTTTGTTGTGTATTGGCTGCAGTCCTCTGAGTTTATCATGGGAAGAAACAATAGAACCTGAGTTTTAAACCTTGGTCTTTATTTCTCCTTAAATATATTTTACAAATTTATGCATTAGAACACAGAGGAAAAAAAATCTTTAATTTGTTTTTTTAATCTGTTTTAGTATGGAAGGAGAGTACATGAGTACAGGGCTTTTTTTTTTTTTTTTTTAAAGTTGCTTTCAGAAGAAGTGATATTTATGTTATGTAGAAGCCTTTTTATCTTACTGAACGGTGAAATAAATGCTTTGCACCTTTTGGCATCCATGAGCCCATTAAACCCTGTTCTTGGATCTTTTTTCTTTCCTCCCCTCCTCCCCCCCCGCCCCCTTATCATTCTCTTTGTTTCGCTTTTTAGCCTCTGATACTTCCTCATCTTCTCTCTCAAGAACAGAGTCTCCTCTCCAACTGTTTGTATCTTCTCATCTTCCTCATCCTCATCCTAAGCCAGATACCTTTGTCTGGCCCCATGCAGCCTCTCCATACTGTGACCAAGTTCCCGAGCCCTGTACACCTTCTCACTGTAAATTGGTTTTCTATTCCTGATGGGCGTGTTAGTTTGTGTGCGGTATTTTTCTGATAATCTTCATAACTGATAAACCGTGTTTAAACAGTTTATGTTTCAACGGTGTCAATGAAATCTGGCCTTTCAGATGCACTTCATTAAATAGTGAATGGGTTTTAAGAGTTTCATCAGAATAGACTGTTTTATTGAGCCCGAAAGAGGTAAAGTTACCGACACTTAATACTCTGTTCGCATGACTGTTACAGAAAATGATAGGTGTTTGGTAAAAGAGGTTATTGGCCAAGACTGCTTTGTAGCTTTTACAGTTATAAATTATTTCCATTGCTGGCATCTTTTGCCAAACAAGACTCTCCTTTCCACAGAATTTCCTTCTTCTCTGTTCAGTTTTTAATGACAATTTCAGAGAGCCTTTAGCTAATTGCATCCAAAACCTTCCCTGAAAATTCACGTGAAGAAAGAAATTGCCTAAATAATAGTATGTTTTTTCATATTACAGGTAGGGTGAATTGAAATGATTTATAGGTGTTAGAGCAGTGAAAATCAACATTATGCTGTTTCAGGTCATGAGCTGTTCTGTTCATTGAAATGATGCCAATTTAAAGCTGCTGTAAGATCAATCCCTATGTTGTTTGAATAACAACCGTACGGTAATGCTGCCAGAGTAGCTCAGGTGGCAGGGTAAAATCAACACAGTTTTCCAGCCATTTCTTTTTAACTCCTTTTCATTACTGTTCAATTGTCCTTCACTCATAGCTTCATGCATAGCGCTGGTTTTGTCACCGCGTTTATAGTAATCCAATCTTAAGAAATTCATTTTTGACACCTAGCCTTTACCTGGTACAATGTCAAATATATTAATTCCTAAAAAAATGTAGAAAATAAATCTCTGAGTATTAGCTAAATTCACTTGTCAAAATAGCTGACATGGGACTGGAGTTTTGAAAACACTAGCTCACATTTAAGCCTGTAACTGGAAATAAAGAAAAGCACTTCCTTTAGACTCCAGGAAATGTGTGTCTTACGGAAGTGTAACTGGTTGAAGTCCGACTTTCTCCTTGAAGCCTTTGAATAGCAGATTGATTGCTGTTCCAGGTTTGGGTGTTGTTGAGTTGAACTTGCTCAGACCTGCTCTATAAACAGTACATCCCAGTTAGCATTAAATTACTTGTTCTTTGCAGAGCTACAAGTTAATAAGAACCAACTTGAGAATGAAGGCAAACTGAAACAATGAAGAAGTCCAAGCAAGGATTTCATTATGTAAAGCCCAAGTTTTCCATTTCCAAGATACTGTATCCTCAGGGAAAGGAGCTTTCACCATATGCATGAGAAGTAGTAGAACCATGAAAAAAAAAAACCCAGATACT